GGAGGTGGGGGTGGGTTAATTGTGTGTATATAGATATATTAATTAATTAATTAATATCTTTTTATATATTTAAATATATAAATAAATATTTAGAAATATGTGTATATATGGGTCAAAAAATCTGATTTTTGAAATGTGAAAGTTGTTTTGTTATTTTTGTAAAAAGGGTAAGATGAAATAGGATAAATGAATTTTTCCCTATTTTTAATGAAGAAAGAACTAAGGTAATATATATATATATATATAGACAGAGACTCCAATATTGCTAAGGTGAAATCTCACATATGCTCAATATATGATAATAATTAATATCTTAAGAGATTAGGCCGCCGGTCCACTTAATAAGATTGATGTTTAAAGCGGAGTCTCGGAACTAGAAATGAAACTAGAGCTTTAAAAACTCGAACGAACAGTCAAATTCTTAAAGGAGCTACCATTTTGCTAACATGTTAAAGAATATCATGTCAAATAAGATATAAACATAGAATACACATGCAATGAACTGCTATGAAACACACGAGCTTACAAAAGATAGCCTCAATCAATTAATTAGTGAAATTGATTATGTTTTTTTTTTCCCCTTCAATATATTCCTCTTATAATGGTCAAAATAAAAAAAAAATGCAAATTCTTTACAAGTTTTTCCATCTAAAAATTCATATTTACCGACCAAACGCCATATCTAATCATATTAATGGTTTTTATTTTATTCGTATGATTTTCTCTTACCTCTACCATATGTTCTTTTTTCTCAACCTACTTGTCTCCTCTTCCTTCCCTTGGAGTTTTCTGTTGTATATGTGGCTCATATAGAGTGAAATACAAGTTTACTGGATCAAAATTGTCGATGTCGGAGTAAAGCGCATCGAACGGAGCAGAACGACGCATTGACCTTGTGGGTTTAATTCACTGTTTGTTTTGCCAAGTAATGCTAAATAGGTTGGGAGTGCGGAGGCAATGTCCTCGCAGTACGGTACATGTGTATTTTTCTTATACGGGCTCTAAAGCGGCTGTATCAGGCTTGAATTAGGATTAATATAAGTACTGATGATGTAATCCTATTATTTATACTGAATAAAAATTTTCGTTTCACTTCTTGTGGATGTAGGCATATCGTCGAAAATACTTGTGTTGATTTCTTTATTTCACTTCTCTATTATTTTGCGTTTAAAATTGAACATCCTCTAATTGAGGAGCTACTTAAGAATAGTTCAAAAGTCTCTCAAACGGGTTAGTAGCAGCAACTTAATAGTCTTTCAAGTAGTTGTGGGGGTAGGAGAGGGGACGAACGCAGGAAATTGAGACTGCAACGCATGGTGCAGGATGAGAGGTAGGAGGTAGAACAAGATATAGGCAATGAACTACGCAGGAAATTTTGACTGCAACGCATGGTGCAGGATGAGAGGTAGTAGGTAGAACTTGATATAGGCAATGAACTTGTGTTTTCATGTCATCTGTATATATCAATAAATACATTATAGTGCTCTCTATCCTTTGAACTTGTAAATGAAATAATTATTTAATTTGAAATTAGAGTGAGCAAAATTATTGAATCCAAATTTTATCGATATTTGTTTATCTTTCAAGCACGTGCATAGACATTCCAAGAACATATTTAGGTATGACGAAAATTCTTTCCATCTTCACTCTTTAAACTATTCGTTAGCAATACAAGAAGTACTGTCTAATTTTATACATGGATACGTTTTCAAATCATGAAAATGATTGATTAATGATTATCGAACACAGTGGAAGTAAAAAGTAGAAATTTTACCAGCTTTTTAACTTTTATACTGAAGTACGAAAACATAAATATTCTTAAAATTCGAGTATCTACTCGGTCTCATTTATATATCCATTTCTCTTGCATAGACCCTCACTGTGTGTGTTTCTCTCCCCATCTGGAAATAGCCCTCCAAAGAAACCACATTCTTTCCCTTTGCCCTTTCCTTGTCCACTCCAATGTCACTCTCGTGATTTTTTTCCTCCAATCCATGCAAAAACCCCATTTGAGAATAGATTTTGATGTTGATAGTTTGGTCCCTGTCAATCAGTTCATACAATATACGCATTTCTTGTTATAGTTATATCTTTTAGACCTCCTTTTTTTTCTTGATCTTCAGACCAGCAACAAAATCGGCGGCTCCTCGAGAAACCACCAGCCATGCAGTGGCTCGGAGTCAAAACTACCAACCAGCGCATGTTCGGTTAAGCTTAAAAGTTAAACATATTCCAGTTTTTTTTTAAAGTTAAATTACTTTGAAACTTTTAATTCTAAAACTTTCGTTTTTTCAAACAAGTCTTTACTTACTTTCTTTTTAATATTATCTTTGTTCGTGTTTCGAGTCTTCTATAAATCAGTCGACATTTCTGTAAGCTGTTTTCAAATGGACGGCGAGAATTTATCTGTCTTTTTTGAGGATACTGAGTTTGGTACTGAAGCCAACCTAGGCGGGGGCTGCACGGCATCTCCAGACGATATTTTCAGTATTCTTGAAGCTTTAGACGGGGTTTCAGACTTTAATCCAGTAAATGAAGTGGGAATGTTGGTTTCTCAAAAATCTAATTCTTCAAGTGTTTTTCAAGAATCTGAAACTGAATTTGAGGTTTCACCAAAATGCAAGAAACAGAAGGTCATTGCAACAGTTTCGATGGAAGTGGACATTGATGGACAACAAAGAGTTTCTCATATAACAGTGGAGAGGAACAGAAGGAAGCAGATGAATTAGCATTTGACTGTCTTGCGTTCTTTGATGCCTTCCTTTTATGTCAAAAGAGTAAGTGTCCTTTCATCTTTGATTTCTTCTAGTTTTCCTTTAGGATTTAAGCTCGATGTCCAATGGATACTGGACAATATTAAAAAAAAAAAACTAAAAGTTTGTTATTTATTCCGTAATACTACCTACCAAACATACAAGAAAGTGTAGTAGGGTTGTACTATACAAGTATTCCAGTGTGAGATTAAGAAAGTTACAAAACTAGGCTGTTTGGCTTAGCTTAAAATCACGAAAATGGCTTCTTTTAATCTTATTTTGGTAGTATGCTTTCTTGGGCAATCAAGAGTGATACTCCTAAACTAAGCAACTTTCTTTTGTTGAAGAAGCAAGGCCAAACATTTGAAAACTTCAAATTATTCATGTTGAAATTTGAGAAGTCGCTACCTTTTGAAGACGTGTTTGGAATGTAATATGAATTAGAATTAGCTAGCTAGTATAAAAAAAATTTAACTTCTTTTTCTTTTATAATTTTCGAACACAGTTAAATCTACCTAGGGAAAAACAGAGATTGTATTACTAACATACATGCCTCTATTTTTGAATAGGCTGATCAAGCATCCATAATCGGAGGAGTTGTCAATTACATCACTGAGTTACAACAAGTTCTACAATCCCTAGAAGCCAAGAAACAAAGAAAAGCTCGCACAGAAGTTTTAAGTCCTCGTTTGGTTTCAAGTCCAAGACCTTCACCCCTTAGTCCAAGAAAGCCTCCATTGAGCCCCAGATTATACAAACCCATTAGCCTAAGAACCCCACAGCCAAACAGTCCCTACAAAACCTGGCTACATTCACCAACCAATTCGTCTTCAAATTCCTCCATGAATGACAGTGTTAATGAACTTGTTGCAAATTCAAAATCTGCCATTGCTGAAGTAGAAGTCAAATTTTCTGGTCCAAATGTATTGCTCAAGCCTGTTTCTCCAAAACTTCAAGGCCAAACAGTGAAGATAATATCTGCACTTGAAGAACTTTCCCTGGAAATCCTTCATGTGAATGTTAGCACAGTTGGGGACACAATGAGAAATTCTTTCACTATTAAGGTAATTAAAAATAAGCAGAAATGCAACTTATATTCTTTCATTGAGTTATTTTTGGTTCAAGAAATCAAATAAAGATGAATGCTGGTCCACACGTATCGAACTACTTCATCTAAAGCTTAAGTTTACCGTTCAACACAACACCCAATGTGAAAATCATATAATTATTTTTTAATCGAAGCTTTTTATGTATTTAGAGTCCTCTTACATTATTAGTCGAAGACATTTTCCACATAGTTATTTAGGCATTCTTGGTTTTATAGAATCATAGATATAATTGAATACAGAGTTAATTAATATTGAATTGAAGCTAATGATTTCCTTTGTAGATTGGAATTGAATGCCAACTTAGTGCAGAGGAACTCGCTCAGCAAATTCAGAAAACGTTCTGCTAAGTTTACCAATATTGTTATCTTGTTTGGTACGTCGAGTTAGACATCAATCAACAATATAACGAACGAACTTTAACATCTCCATACCAGACATGTCATGCGTCGTTACCATGCCAGACCCCTTTTTTTTTTCTCTTGATAACTTTCGTACGCACACTTACTCACTCACTCAGTAGAAATAAAAGCAAAAGGTGGGAAAGCATCAACCACCATTGCCGTTACAGATCATGTTTAAAAGCAGCCATGACTTTGTATTTGCATTCAACATTAGCATTTTTTTTTAATTACATTATTCTATTTTGAATTTATTTTTAGTTTATTGTTGCCAATTACTTAATGTTGTTACATTGTTACAATTCTAGAATATTCATATTGCAGTATAAACTTAGCCCTTGTTTGGCCTCCATTTTAATTAGATTTTGGGAAAAAAGTACTTTAAAATAGTAATTTTTTTGGAGAATGTGTGGTTAAAAAAGAAGAAAAAATGTTGGATTTACGTATAATATTATTTTATTGGGGAACATGTGGTCGATAAGAAAATAGGGAAAAAGAACATATAATTTTAATAGAATCCAAACGGGAGCTTGATATTTCAAAAAGGGTCTATATATTAAATTGAAAAGGGTGAAGAGTAATGGATCGAATTGGGGTAAAATGTTTAAACAAATAAAAATTCCCACAAATATCATCAAACTCTAATCACAGAAATTATCAACACAAATATTCACATTAATGAAGCAGCAAAATTCGACGGATGGATACAATTTTTCCAATTTTACTAAGTGTGATAAAAATATTAGGCCATGTTTGATTGCACTTCAATTCCATGGAAGATGGAAATTAAATTCCATTTTCCTTTTTTTTGCATGTTTGATTGCCCAAATTTTTCATGAAATTGATTTCCATCTTTCACCCACATACTCACATTTTCTTGATATTTGAGGAAAAACTTTTCCCACCACTTTGGTGGGAAAAACTTTTCTAGGAAACTTTTTATTTTATTTTAATTTTTTTTGATAATGGAAATAAATTATATCTCAAATTGTAATAAATTATATCTCTTTAATGGACAATTTTCATAGAAAACAAAGTCAAACGAACACGAAAATATCCAAAATTTTAATATTTTTCAGGTGAAAAATGGTACCAATCAAATACAATTAATTGACAATTTCTAGTAAAACAAGTTATAAGCAATTCAATTTCCTGAAATTCATTTTCTTTCCACCAAAATTTCATTCTTGCAATCAAACGGGCCCTCGGTAAACAAACCTAAAGGAAAAAATGTATACTGAATTTTATTGGTTATATACAATGAATATATGAAAAAAAAAAAATGCAATTTGACTAGATATTAAAATAAATAAAAACTGTAGAAAATATATACTTACACGATTTATAAAAAAATATATATCATTCCCAAGATTGAAATTTTTTGTGTCTTCCCAATCACGATTTACATGTAATCCTGGCTAGCCATAAAGCGACTCTATTTTTGGCGACATGCTCATAAATATCTGCCATTTACCGTGCTTGCTATATATAATGAGAAATTGAGAATATTAGAGGCGGATCTCTTTTTATTTCAGTTTTGTGTTTTGAGTTTTGAATTCATTTTAGATTTTGTATTTTGTGTGTCCATTTTGAGATTGTTGAAAATGTGTTCTTTTTAGCATTTGAAAAATTATTTTCCCAAAACGCGTTTTGAAAATTTTGGCTTGATTATAACTGAAAACAACATTCTTTGTAAATTTTTAACTTGTTTTCAAAAACACGTTTTTGAAAATAGGAAAGAGAACAGGCTTTCACTTTTTTGAAAAATCGAAAACAGAAAATAACTTGAAAATGGTAAAGACAACAGACTCTTAAGGATTGACTGAAAATGTTAAAACCTACTTCACTCAAATGCTTGCAATTACAAGTCGAAATACAATTGGCACAACTTATGTTCAGCTCATGTTTATAAATTATTATAAATATTTAAAATATTTTTTATTTACATATTTGTGAGATTCACTTAACCAATACTATTTTTTTATTTATTTATAATTTAAACATTTTATAAATATTTCTCAAACATGCTATAATTTATTGAGCTCTACTTGAGACTTTGTACCCAAGCCCTCGCGCCAACAAAATATTCTCTTAAATAAAAGAAATTATGTAAACAATATATAAAAACTAGGTGATACTATTTATTATTGAAGTACAAAAACCATCCTTTCGTAATTTAATTGCAAAAATTTAAAAGCTAATTATTTTCTTATTATTATTATTATTATTATGCTCGTGTTTGAGCTCCATTATTTCATATTTTATTATACGTACATGCTAGCTGATACAACGAGGGACAGATTTTCTAGTCTTGGCTAGCTCTTAGACCCTATTTGACTGTCACATTTTCTATGAAAAATGTCATATTCGAGGAAAACGAATTCTACTTTGGCCATTTGATTGTAACATGGAGATGGAAACCGAATTCCAAAATACAACCACTTGAAACTGTATTTTCTTTATTTTCATAGAAAACGAATTCATATGGATTTGATAGATTTTTATTTTCCAATTAATATGGAATTGGAATTTCATTCCACATTTGCCCATCAAAAGGAGTCTTATTTCTTCTGTATACAATATTGTCTAACACCTATATATTTATTGGGAGGATTTAATTATGGGAAAAATTCATTTTCCCTACTTTATCTTTACCCTATTTCAAAAATAACAAAACAACTTTTACATTTCAAAAATCAGATTTTTTGACCTATATATACACATATTTATAAATATTTATTTATTTATTTAAATATATAAAAAGATATAAATAAATAAATAAATAAATATATATAAAATTAAC